AGCTCAGAAACCAGAGTCTGGTTAACTTTAGCTCAGAAACCAGAGAGATCTGGTTATCATTAAATCAGATACCATTGAGTCAAGGTAACTTTGCTCAGAAAATTGTGAGGGAGTGTGTGTACAGTGTTCAGTTCGAAGACCCTCCAGTTCTCAACAGGGCTGAAGCTTGAAGCTTCTGATTGGAGGTCATGTCAACCGTCCCACCACTGTGTCAATGCAGCATCAATAAGAAGGTTTGTCATTCTCCTGCAGATCACATCTCGGGTGTTCTTTGGGGAGCCGGGTCCCTGGTTCAGTCAGATGGAGATGGATGGGGATAAGACAACCATTTTTCATGACATTGACGGATCTGTCAGTGAGTATCCTGGAGCCTTTCTGGTTAAGGAGGACAACTGGCTGCTCCGACACCCTGACTGCATTGATGTGCCAGATTGGAAGGCTGCGATCTGCAGTGGTCACTTTGCACAGGTGGGATATCCTCCAGTCACATGGTCATTTTCACTAACATCTCTCATTGCTGCATCCTTTATTCCATTCTGTGGTCAAGGCTCTGTGGGTCCAGTAGTCATTCTCAGAGACAAAGATGGCCAGCACACTGATGTCAAGAACCACATGGGCCAACATGGGACCACATGGCTTTTAGGTAAGGACCATGTGGCCATAAGAGAAGGACCACATGGACCCACTAGGGACCACATGACTATAAAATAAGGCCTACCTTTTTATTCGCCGTTTTAAGGTTGGGTTGCTGAGGCAGCAGGCTAAGAAGAGAAGGCATTCCTTGGCTCATGTTATAGGGATCTTTTGTATCAACTCTTTAACTTTTGTATTCCATCACACTATTTTTATTGCTTCTAATTATTATCAGAGTTTGTTAATTGGTCCAGCAGATATTATCAATCAATCAACCTTTATTTAGACAGGTAAATCCCATTGAGTCTCAAGGACTCATTTACAAGAGAGACCTGATGAAGCAGTTAAATGATACACTTTCTGATTAGTGCTCCTTTTTGACTTCAGCTTCACATTTCTTTTAATTCAGCTTGAAACTGAGCTATATTGTGATTCTTCTTCTTTGATATCTGTTTTCTTCAGATCTATATCCAAATCCGAAACCCTGCCAGCCTGATGATGCGTATAGTGAAGAACGAGTACCCTGACCGGCCCCTGACACTAGAAGGGGCCCTAGGAAAGAAAAAACACTACCAGCAGTTCCAGCCGGTGATCACGCTGGCCAAAGAATACACCGTTCACTGGGACCAAGCAGCACCTGCAGAGGTCACCATCTGGCTCATCAACTTCAACAAGTTAGTTAACGTGACCTTAAAGGTTTGGCCATGCCATGTTGTTGTCCTATTGTCCACTAGACCCATGGTCTCTCTGTAAGGAGGAACCAGAAGTGAAAGATTTTATAAAAAGATGTTAAAATGTAAACTGAAGACATAAAATCTGTTAAGAAAATAGATTTTCTTCTCTGACAGTTGACTGAGCTCCTGCAGCCTCCTGCCTTCTGATGGTTTCTGAATGTTTTAACCAAAATAAGGTTGTTTGAGATTCCAAACATCATTTAGTTAAACTGCACGTCCAATAAGGATGTTCAATGAGCTATGTCCAATGAAAAGAAGAATGATGGTTCAACATTCTTTAGCTGTTTAATCCTGATTAATTAGCAATAATCAACTAAACTGGAATTAACTTTTATTTTATTCATCAGATCTAGTTTCAGAATTGATGAAGAAAACATTCAGCTAAAAAAAAAAAAAATCATTATCTACAGAAGCCAGCAGATTGTGTTGAATCTTCACTTCGTTGCATTCTCCCATCCTAAGCAAGCACAAGGCTGCAAAGTTTATTCCTAAGATGCTCAGGTCCAAAACCAAAACCTCTGTCTTGTCTGAGTTTAAAAGTAGAAAATTTTGGGTCGTCCAGGTTTTACATCTTTAAGACATGATTGGCTTCATCGAGGATATTTGACTAACACCCCTTTACCTCATATAGGCTCCTCCCCTCACAAAGATGCTCAAAAACGTCAGGAAATAATTGTAAGAATGCATTAATTATTTTAAATAAATGGTCTTTTTCCAAACCACTCTGGCAGTGTCCAGCTGAGAAATTAAATTACAAAAACACATCCAAACAAACCGCTGTCTGCATTTCAATCAATCAGTCAATCAATCAATCAGTCAATCAATCACTCAATCAGTGAAACACATGCAGACAAGTGAAAACTGCAAACAGCAGGTTTCCTTGTTTGGATGTTTCTATTTCTGATCAAACAGGTTGTGTTTATTTATTTTTTTGTTTGTTTCGTCTTTTTTCTGCTTTTCTCTTATCGGGACCCACAGCGAGTCCTCCTCCTCCACCTCACTCTGTCCTCTGCATCCTCTGTCCTCACTCCAAACTCCATGTCCTCTCTAACTGCATCCGTATATCCACTCTTTGTCTTTTTTCTGGCAGCTGCATTTCTAACAGCCTTCTACCAATTTACCCACTGTCCCTCCTCTGGACATGTCCAAACCACTGTCCCTCCTCTGGACATGTCCAAACCATCTCAGTTTGGTCTCTAACTTTGTCTCCCAGTTGTTCCTGTGCTGTACCTCGGATGCTCTCATTCCTAATCTTATCCATTCTTGTCACTCCTAAGAAGAACCTCAACATCTTAATTTCTGTTCCTTCAAAATCTGTCTGTTGTCTTTTGTCCATGTCTCTGTCTCCAGACCATGCAACATAGATGGTCTCACCACTGTCTTGTAAACTTTTCCTTTGACCTTTGCTGCCCCCCATTTGCCAGAAATCACTCCTGAAACTTTTCTCCATCCACTCCATCCTGCCTGGACCCTCTTCTTCACCTCTTTACCACACTCCCCATTTTCCTGGACAGTGGACCCCAAGTACTTGAAGTCCTGCACCTTTGTGACCTCTGCTCCTTGTAGCCTCACTGTTCCACTGGACTCCTTCTCATTCACCCACATGTACTCTGTCTTACTACAACTGACTTTCATTCCTCTTCTTTTAAGTGCATACCTCCACCTCTCTAAGTTCTCTTCCACCTGTTTCCTGTTCTCACCATGGATCACAATATCATCTGCAAGCATTAAAAATGTTTTTGTTTGTTTGGTCTCAGAAATGACTGGATCAGTATGGGTCTCTGCTACCCACAAGGCACCAACTTCACAGTCATCGCTGACATCCATGACCGGCTGACCAAACAGACCCGTAAGACTGGAGTCTTCATGAGGACCACTCAGAGGGAGAAGATCAACCACTCCAACCTGAGCAGAGGATACTACTACTGGGAGGAAGATACCGGGTCAGAACCAAACTGAAGTCAAAATGCATTTAGTTTGGAATTAGAATTCAATACTGTTTCTATTGCCGAACAAAACCTCCTCAAGCTGATTCTTTTTGTCTAAATGCTCAAACAGTTGTCCTGACACCTATTTTTCACTAGAATGTTTAACAAGAGGGAGATTTGTTTACAGGGGAGGTAAAAATTTCTCTGATCATTTGAATCTGGCAGCTTGTTCATTTTAAGAAAATGAAGTAGTACAGTATCTCATTTTTATAGTAAAAAAAGACTAAATGAAAGTTTCAGATTGACACACATGTTACTGATGGAAATAACAACAAACCAGGACTCAAGCTCCCTCAGATGGGTTGTGTACTTAAGTGGTGCACAGATTATATCCAATCAATCAACCAACCAACAAATTAACCAACCATTCCATCAATTAACCAACTGTTCAACCAATTATCAAACCATTCAAACAATTAACCAACCATTCAACCAATTAACCAACCAGTCAATAAGTTATCCAAAGATTAAACCAATTAACTAACCATTCAACCTATTGTCCAACCATTCAATCAATTAACAAACCAATTAATCAACCAATTAATCAGTCAAGCAGACATGACTGATCTGGTTCTGTATTAAAGCTCACCTGTCCACAGAACCTGGTTCCTCCACTTCAACCTCTCAACCTTGATGGGTCACACCAAAGACCTGTTGGAGAACTTCAGTGATCAGATCATAGATCTGACCAAGACTAGAATGGACCACAGAACATCATCAGGAAACTGCCGGTGAAAAAGTTACGCTGCCGGTGTAACTTTATTCAGATAATGGCAATCAGTGATCAACAGTGTGAAGCTTCATGGAAGATCTCCGTTATGAAGTGAGGATGATGATGATAAAGGTGTGGGATTAGCCCACAGGTTCACATAAGGAGCTTGTTAAGACCTTGAAGGAAGCTGGGACCAAAGTCACAGAGAACTCTGTTTCTCCAGGCTCTTTTTGTCCAGTGTTGGTGAGGGTTATGTTTCCTGCTCCTGTAGCTGACAGGAAGTGGCACCTGGCGTGGTCTTTGGCTGCTTCAAGGTTTGTGTGGATCAGAAACGGTTCTGCAGACTTCGGTTTGTAACAAGTTATTGATGGTGCTGCTCTTGCCTTTTTATTATTTGAAACCAGTCTGGCCTCTGACATCAACAAGGCTTTTTCAGTACTGAACATGTTCTCTTTGTTAGACAATTCTCTATAAACCCTAAAGGTTATTGGTGAAAATCCCAGCAGAACATCAGGTTCTGAAACACTCCAACCAACAACTGTTCAAAGTTTCCTTTTCTCCTCGATCTGAGCTCAGTTTGAACTTCAGCAGGTCGTCTTTACCACATCTACGTGTCTAAATGAGTTTCTGCCCTGTGATTGGCTCATTAGTTCTTTTAATTAAGTTATACAGGTGGACCTGATGAAGGTAGATATCCACCAGATAGGGCTTTACTCTAATTTATTTGTAAGTGGGCAAACGTGCAAAATCAGGAAAGGATCTTTTTTATTTTTTTTTACTTCAACTGCTGACGCACTAATTCAGCCAAACCAGTCAGACTTTTCAGTCTCCATAAACCAGTGATCCAGTGGGTCCATTTCCTTTCACTAAACGAGTTAAACTGATGGTTTTATGATCAAAACAGTGTTTCTAATATCAGGTGTTGTCGTTTCATGTGTCCTACAGCCTGCTCTTCCTGAAGGTCAAAGCTCACAATGACAGGGAACAGTTTGCCTTCTGCTCCGTGAAAGGCTGTGAGAGAATCAAGATCACTGCCAGCATCCCTAAAGGAAGTCCACCTAGCAACTGCCTTATCAAGACCTACCCCAAACATGCTGAGAGGCCTGTGGTAGATGTCCCCATGCCCAGGAGGATACCCACCTCCAGACTGGTGAGTCCTCCAGCCAACATCCAATGTCCAACATCCATCCACTCATCTATCCATTTATCTATATATCCATCCATCCATAAGTCCAGCATCTATCTGTCCATCCATCTCCGTCCATCTATCCATCTGTCCTCTCTCTTCCTATTCTTCTTGTTTTTATTCGGGTCTTGGTGGAAGCAGCTTGAAGAGGGAGGTCAGCGTTGAAGGTTCAATGGTTCAGAAGGGAAAACCAGAATTTCTTTCACAGAAACACTCTCCTGGTTCTTCTGAGCGTCCCCAGGCCAGATATCTGAGTCTACCCTGCAGCCATCCTAATCAGATGTCTGAACCACCTTAGCTGACTCCTCTTAATGAGGAGAATCAATGGTTCTACTGAGCTCCTCCTGGATGATGGAACTCTTAATTTTTTCTTTAAGACTGAGCCTTATTATGATAGTCCATGCTGCTGACTACTTTCCTTTAAGATGTTATATGCGTACCCATCTACTCACTACAGACTCAGGCTGCTGTTTAATACACCATATTATATTACATTATTATTGTTTAGCATATATCTTAGATCCTTGTATATTGTTTATTTTTTAATACTTTATCCTTTTGCTTATTTGGGTGTAATTGGAATCTTGTGTACACAATTTTGTCCTACCACATGTACCACACGTGATACGAACAACAATAAAGAACCTTGAACCTTTATGTTTTGGTAAGCTTATCTCACCCACTTGGCTCCATGATACTTTTTTTTTATCCTGATCCATAATTCATTAACATAAAGTGAGCAAAATAAGTATTTGAACACCCTGTGACTTTGCAAGTTCTCCCACTTAGAAATCATGGAGGGGGTCTGCAATTTTCATCTTAGGTGCATGTCCACTGTGAGAGACATAATCTAAAAAAAAAAAAAATCTGGAAATCTCAATGTATGATTTTTTTTAAACAATTTATTTGTGTGTGTGTTACTGCTGCAAATAAGTATTTGAACACCTGCCAATCAGCAACAATTCTGGCCCTCAAAGACCTGTTGGTCCGCCTCTAAAAAGTCCACCTCCACTCCACTTATTATTCTAAATTAGAAGCACCTGTCTGAGGTTGTTAGCTGCATAAAGACACCGGTCCACCCCATACAATCATTAAGACTCCAACTACTAACATGGCTAAGACCAAAGAGCTGTCCAAAGACACCAGAGACAAAATTGTAGACCTCCACAAGTCTGGAAAGGGCTACGAGGCAACTACCAAGCAGCTTGGTGAAAAAAGATCAATTGTTGGAGCAATTATTAGAAAATGGAAGAAGCTAAACATGACGGTCAATCTCCCTCAGACTGGGGCTCCATGCAAGATCTCACCTCGTGGCGTATCAGTGATCCTAAGAAAGGTGAGGAATCAGCCCAGAACTACACGGGAGGAGCTGGTCCATGACCTGAAGAGAGCTGGCACCACTGTTTCCAAGGTTACTGTGGGTAATACACTAAGACATCATAGTTTAAAATCATGTGTGGCACGGAAGGTTCCCTTGCTTAAATCAGCACACGTCCAGGCCCGTCTTAAGTTTGCCCATGACCATTTGGATGATCCAGAGGAGCCATGGGAGAAAGTTATGTGGTCAGATGAAACCAAAATAGAACTTTTTGGTCTTAATTCCACTTGCCTCAGTTAGAGCATTGAAGATGGGTCATGGCTGGGTCTTCCAACATGACAATGACCCGAAGCACACAGCCAGGAGAACCAAGGAGTGGCTCCGTAAGAAGCATATCAAGGTTCTGGTCTCCAGACCTAAACCCTATAGAAAATCTTTGGAGGGAGCTCAAACTCCATGTTTCTCAGCGACAGCCCAGAAACCTGGCTGATCTAAAGAAGATTTGTGTGGAGGAATGGGCCAAAATCTCTGCTGCAGTGTGTGCAAACCTGGTGAAAAACTACAGGAAACCTTTGACCTTGCAAACAAAGGCTACTGTACCAAATATTAACATTGATTTTCACAGGTGTTCAAATACTTATTTGCAGCAGTAACATACAAATAAGTTATTTTAAAAATCATACATTGTGATTTCCGGATTTTATTTATTTTTTTAGATTATGTCTCTTCACAGTGGACATGCACCTAAGATGAAAATTTCAGACCCCTCCATGATTTCTAAGTGGGAGAACTTGCAAAGTCAAAGGGTGTTCAAATACTTATTTTCCTCACTGTAGGTAAGGACTGAAGATGTATGTGCATAGATGGATCGATAAATGCAGAGAATTGCCTTTCATCTTAGCTCCTTCTTCACTACGACAGACCAGAGCAACGCTTTCACTATGGCACAAAAGGCCCCGATTCACTGAACAAGACTGTCAATTTGAATACTTGGAGGAAGGAGGACTCCAGGAGACGGGTTACTTTGTTCAGAACAAAGAAACCAAGGCAAAGATTGGGTGCAGAATGAACCGAATGGCAGGTGAGGGCTGGGTCCAGTGATTCCTGATGTCATAAACTGAGTTTGGTTTGTGGAACATCACAAATGTTTTCCTAAGAGAAGATTGCTTTAAAACCAATATTTTTGTGTATTTTTGTGTCCATCCATCCATACATCCATACATTATCTTGTGCTTGTTCCGAAGTTGGGTCGCGGGGGCAGCAGTTTGAGCAGGGAGGCCCAGATATTGCTTTCCATAGCCACTTCTTCCAGCTCTTCTGGGAGGACACCAAGATGTTCCCAGGCCATCTGAGAGATATAGTCCCTCCAGTGTGGCCTAGGTCTTCCTGGGGATGGACTTGTAGAATTGCACTACCCAATTGGGAGCGAGATTGGAATGCAGGTTAAAGATGAGACCAATTGAATTTGAACGTGCGTATCCACCTACCCCACCCGTTTGGACTGGTTCTGCGTGACGGACGTCATGGGCTGAATGGGCAGTTTTAACTGCTTGCGATATTTACATCTGCCAGTCAACCACGAATCAGCATCTCTTCCCAGTTGGACATACCTGAACCACCTCTCGGGACGCGCCCAGGGAGCATCCTTTCCAGATGCCCGAACCACCTCAACTGGCTCCTCTCAAGTCTCTCTCCCAGATAACTGAACTTCTGGCCCTCTCTCTAAGGGAGAGTCCAGCAACCTTGCAAAGGAAATTAATTTCAACCACCTGTACCTGTGATATTGTTCTTTCGGTCACTACTTAGAATTGATGGACATTGGTGAAGGTAGGAACGTAGACCGACCGGTGAACAGAGAGCTTCGCCTTACAGCTCATCTCCCTCTTTACAACAACGGACCAATACAGAATCCTCAATACTGCAGACGCTGCACCAATCTGTCTATCAATCTCACGCTCCATTCTTCCCTCACTCATGAACAAAACCCCAAGATACTTGAACTCCTCCATTTGAGGCAGAACTTCACCCTCGACCCGAAGAGAACAATCCACCCTTTTCCAACTGAGGACCATGGCCTCGGATTTGGAGGTGCTGATTATCATCCCAGCCGCTTCACACTCTCCAGTGAGAGCTGAAGATCACGGCACTATGAAGCCAACAGGACCACATCATCTACAAATAGCAGAGATGGAATCCTGAGGCCACCTAACCGACTCCCTCCGCAGCTCCGCCCCCTGGCTGCACCAATAAATTCTGTCCATGGAAGTTATGAACAGAATTGGTGACAACGGGCTAACCATTTCATATTTTTATGGTCTTGTTTTGGAACCACAATCTTTTTTTATTTGTTTTTATTTAACCTTTATTTAACCAGGCAAATCCCATTGAGATCACAGATCTCTCTTGCAAGGGAGGCCTGGGCCTGAAGGCATCCTAATCTGAGGGAGCCACTGTTACATTTTTCTCAGTTTTATCACTTTAAGTTTTTGTTTTCAACTACAAATGTAATTTACTGAAAGAAAGCTGAATTATATAAAAACAGGTTGGATTTTTGTTTAAGGATTTATATTTGTTTTCTTTCCGATGGTGATGTTGACACTATCTCCCCCTTCTGGCTCTCTGTGGCATCTCAGCTTTCCTTAAAGTCTCTGAGTTCTCATGATTCAGGATTTTTTTTCCCCCCAAATGGAGGGAAAATATTAATGTGCTCAACTTTAAGTATTCATCCTGGAGCCAATAAAAATGTTGCTGCAGAATTCATCAGAAAACACAGTCAGCTTTGAGCGCCATGTTTTCTCTCAAGACCTGCGGTGGAGGAAAACATTCAGAACTGGCTTGAGCAAATGGACCTGAATGAGTCTGTCCTGAGTCCAGTCACTGCAGGGTTCAGGAGCAGGTCTGAGCAGCCCAGCTGAAGAAATCCTGGCTCTGAAGTGTGACCTTGTTTCTGTTTGTTTTCCCCTCAGAACTCAGCCGAGCACTTCCTGGAGGTCAAACTGGTCTCACACAGTTCTCGCTTCTTCCATATTAAAGAGGACGTTGCCTTCACTGAGGTACTCTTTGTTTCAGACACACAGCTGAACCAACACGTGATTGAAATATGTTGTTTTAGCAGTTGGAGCATCATGTTAAATGTCTTTAATTTAAATCCATAATTCTTGCAATTGACAGTCTGCGTTAAAAAAAATACAAACAAAAGAGTAAACAGACTTTTAATCATCGTTCTTTTAGAATCCATTGGGGCCGACACCGAACTGGTCCATTGTTGGGAATAAATCTGCTGCAGTCTTGGTTCCAGCTGCAGATTATGTCATTTCTTTACCTGGCAAGGGCATATCCTAAAAAGATCTATTTTTATTGGCAGACAGGTTGGGATCATGGAAACCTGGAAACCAAACAGGAAAAGTATCCAAAATACTATGGTTCATCTACTTTTTAACTTCCTGGGTGGCACGGTGATGCAGTGGTTAGTGATGTTGTGCAACTATCATTTTCTGCACTGCCCCTTTACCCTAACTCAATATTTTAGATGAATAAAAATGTAATAATAAAAAATGTAATAATAGTTATTTAATAAAGATTAAGAGATTGTGTTTCTAACCAAACATTCATTAAAGAACATTTCCAAAGGTTTTACTGGAAAAGTCTAAAAATGTTACAACAGTTTGTGTGACAGGCAGTGTTGTATAAAGTACCTCAAAGTGATACTTCAGTGAAAGTACAAGTATCTTACCATAAACTTATTTTGGTAAAAGTTAAAGTCTCCTTAAAAATTATTACTTAAGTAAAAGTCTTAAAGTACCTGACATTTAATGTACTTAAGTATCAAAAGTAAATTTCTCTTTTAAAATGTACTTAAAGTAAGAGTATTAAGTAAATGGTTAGATTTTCCAAATCAACATTTATTGGGTGCAATATCCAGTGACAAAAACTTGGAAAGTTTGAACTGAACAATGAAAGATTGATCTTTAAAAATTCTGATTCTACTGAAGTATATTCATTCAACCTTTATTAGGTTGGAAAGCTCACATTGTTGTGTAGTTGGCTTGTTTACTGAGCTAGGTTCTGTTTGGTTAAGGCTTGTTTCTTTCTGACTAATTAATAATATAGAATAATGTAATAGCAGTTCATGTCCTGGAGAACACCAAACTTCTCCTTTTTTAGCAGCTACCATCCTTTTCACACCTATCAGGAATGTGTCTCCACTGTGAGTCAACAAAGCTCTTTTGTAACGATTCATATCTGTACATGCATCTAGCTTGTTCACAGCGGGAGCTGCAGTTTTCACACAAGCATCGGGGAAGGGACTAGGTTTGTGATTGAGAGTGTCAGTGAGGGAGAGAGAAGGGGCCGCATGAAGTCACAGACTGGGAGAACAAACTGCCCAATCAGATTTCTTCTAATTTTAAATTGTAACTAGTAACTATGATGGTTAAGGGAAATGTATTGAAGAAAAAGTGAAAGTCGCTTGAAATGTAAATAACGAAGTAAAGTAAAAATATGTCAGTTCTAGTACAGTAACAAAATATTTCTACTTTGTTACATTACAGCACTGGTGACAGGTCACAATTTTTCACACTGTTGAGTTTTAAATGTTAAAATATCCTTTTTGGTCCCCAGTTGTTCAAAACAAAAAACAATTCAAACAGAACTGATTCTGAAACTGGTTTCCATCAGCACCATTGAGTCACAGATCATTGTATTTTGTTGCCCTTTGTTTTAAGATGGACTGTTCCTATCAGAAAATGTTTCCAGGACTCCACCAAGCATCCATGAACCATGAGGAGCTGTTGAATCCACAAGCAAGCCTCTTAGTTGCTTTCTTTTTGCACCAACAACATTAGTGGCATTATCAGAACGAATCTGAGTGACTTGACTTTGTCTGCTCACGAATCGTCTCAGGTCATTAATACATGCGTCTGTGTCAGGACTTTGAAAAAGCTGAGAGATCAGGCAATATTCTTTCAACTGGAAAGTCGTCCATTTCTTGTTCACTTGCTCTTCCGCTGTATTGTTTACAAGTACAGGTCCTTCTCAAAAAATTAGCATATTGTGATAAAGGTCATTATTTTCCATAATGTAATGATAAAAATGAAACTTTCATATATTTCAGATTCATTGCACACCAACTGAAATATTTCAGGTCTTTAATTGTTTTAATACTGATGATTATGGCATACAGCTCATGAAAACCCAAAATGCCTGTCCCAAAAAATTAGCATATTTCATCCCACCAATGAAAGACAAGTGTTTTTAATACAAAAAACGCCAACCTTCAAATAATCATGTTCAGTTATGCACTCAATACTTGGTCAGGAATCCTTTTGCATGAATGACTGCTTCAATGCGGCGTGGCATGGAGGCAATCAGCCTGTGGCACTGCTGAGGTGTTATGGAGGCCCAGGATGCTTCGATAGCGGCCTTAAGCTCATCCAGAGTGTTGGGTCTTGCGTCTCTCAACTTTCTCTTCACAATATCCCACAGGTTCTCTATGGGGTTCAGGTCAGAGAGTTGGCAGGCCAATTGAGCACAGTAATACCATGGTCAGTAAACCATTTACCAGTGGTTTTGGCACTGTGAGCAGGTGCCAAGTCGTGCTGAAAAATGAAATCGTCATCTCCATAAAGCTTTTCAGCAGATGGAAGCATGAAGTGCTCCAAAATCTCCTGATAGCTAGCTGCATTGACCCTGCCCTTGATAAAACACAGTGGACCAACACCAGCAGCTGACATGGCACCCCAGACCATCACTGACTGTGGGTGCTTCACACTGGACTTCTGGCATTTTGGCATTTCCTTCTCCCCAGTCTTCCTCCAGACTCTGACACCTTGATTTCCGAATGACATGCAAAATTTGCTTTCATCCGAAAAAAGTACTTTGGACCACTGAGCAACAGTCCAGTGCTGCTTCTCTGTAGCCCAGGTCAGGCGCTTCTGCCGCTGTTTCTAGTTCAAAAGTGGCTTGACCTGGGGAATGCGGCACCTGTAGCCCATTTCCTGCACACGCCTGTGCACGGTGGCTCTGGATGTTTCTACTCCAGACTCAGTCCACTGCTTCCGCAGGTCCCCCAAGGTCTGGAATCGGCCCTTCTCCACAATCCTCCTCAGGGTCCGGTCACCTCTTCTCGTTGTGCAGCGTTTTCTGCCACACTTTCCCCTTCCCACAGACTTCCTACTGAGGTGCCTTGATACAGCACTCTGGGAACAGCCTATTGTTCAGCAATTTCTTTCTGTGTCTTACCCTCTTGCTTGAGGGTGTCAATGATGGCCTTCTGGACAGCAGTCAGGTCGGCAGTCTTACCCATGATTGCGGTTTTGAGCAATGAACAAGGCTGGGAGTTTTTAAAAGTCTCAGGAATCTTTTGCAGGTGTTTAGAGTTACGTCGTTGATTCAGATGGTTAGGTTAATAGCTTGTTTAGAGAACCTTTTCATGATATGCTAATTTTTTGGGACAGGCATTTTGGGTTTTCATGAGCTGTGTGCCATAATCATCAGTATTAAAACAATTAAAGACCTGAAATATTTCAGTTGGTGTGCAACAAATCTGAAATATATGAAAGTTTCATTTTTATCATTACATTATGGAAAATAATGACCTTTATCACAATATGCTAATTTTTTGATAAGGACCTGTAAGACTGATCACCGTCCTGACACTGAACAGCATACACAATATTACTCTGTTTGTGCCGGGGGACTGGATCTTTGGGATGAACCACTCTTTGCCGTAATGTATTCTGGAGTTTGAAAGCCACTGGGCTGTCATGTTTAGATAATAAACATCTCAGTCTCTCAGAAACTCCCTCAACATAAGGAATGACCACTGGTCTGGGGTCCTCCTTTTCACCTGATGGCTGGCTGGAGTCTTGTTTGGGTTTCTTCCTTGCTTTCAGCAGATTTCAACAAAGTTTCACCAAAGAAGAATCCAGTTAACCTGACTCAACCTGATTGGATTTATTTACCTGGATTATTGAACATGCATCAGGATGCAAAACAAACTCCCTTCCCCTGTGCTGGATCTTAGTAATATTCTTTGAACTAGCCTCCACAGGTAAATCCTGAAAATCACCAAAAACAGGGTGACCAAGTATTTTGGCTTCATGTTCAAGGAAAGCATCAATCACTGTACATTGCTCTGCGTTTGTTTTAGCTCCTTCATGTGCAGCAATCCTCCATCTTTCTCTTATGGTAGTTTGGACATTATGATTCTCATTGTAGCTGGTGTGTCCATTTTATTCGTGCCATCAAGTTCAGTCATAAGACTACAAACCGGATTCCAAAAAAGTTGGGACACTAAACAAATTGTGAATAAAAACTGAATGCAATGATGTGGAGATTGCAAATGTCAATATTTTATTCGTAATATAACATAGATGGCAGATCAAAAGTTTAATCTGATTAAATGTCACATTTTAAAGGAAAAATATGTTGATTCAAAATTTCACAGTGTCAACAAATCCCAAAAAAGTTGGGACAAGTAGCAAAAAGTGGCTGGAAAAAGGAAATTGAGCATATAACAAACAGCTGGAAAACCAATGAACACTAATTAGGTCAATTGACAACATGATTGGGTATAAAAAGAGCTTCTCAGAGTGTCGGTGTCTCTCAGAAGCCAAGATGGTAAGAGGATCACCAATTCCACCATTGTTGCGCAGAAAGATAGTGCAGCAATACCAGAATGGTGTTACCCAGCGTAAAATAGCAAAGACTTTTAAGTTATCATCATCAACCGTGCATATCATCATCAAACGATTCAGAGAATCTGGAACAATCGCTGTGCGTAAGGGTCAAGGCCGTAAAACTCTACTGGATGCTCATGATCTCCGGGTCCTTTTTTTTTTTCTCCAGCGCTGCTCACACCCAGACAATGCACTGCAGCCTAATCCCAAAGTCTGTGCAAGTTCTTTTTAATCTCCTGTTAAATTCCTGAGCAGTCTTTTGACTAATTGTAAGTGAGTCCCTGTGAATCACTGGTACAGCCGTTCTAGACTTCTGTCTCACCATTGACCAAGTCCGAACTCACTTTTTTTTGTAGCTTTGAGCTTTATTTCACCCCAAAATCAGTTAAATTTCTAACATAATTCGGCTAATTCAGCATGTGTGTCCTCAAGCACAACACAAGATAAATACATTCATATTATTACCATTATTACCACTAACAGGTGTGGGAAACTGATACAATGGAATGGTTTTTACAACGTCTTTAGGTGAAAAGGCTGGAGAAAAAAAAATCAAAAATAAGTTCAAATCCTTCTTTGTGCATAAACCAGGGTGGCAGTGTTGTTCAACATTTCACAGTAAAACTAGATTCTAGTTAGTTTGTGTCAGAATTTAACAACCCCCCCCCCCCCCCCTCCAACTTTCTGTATTAATGTGTAAACTGAGCTTGTTATTTCTGACACGTTTCACCGTCTGAGGAACATCAGAGGTGGGTCACTGAGTATATCTGTTGTTACAGGTGAACGGTAGGAAGTTGCTCCAAGCAGAAGATGGTGTGCAGTTGACAGTAATTGATGGACAACATGGAAACATTGTGGAGACCAAAAGTTTCAGAAGCTCCGTCTTACAGGGTGTCCCTGCACAGATCCAGAATTATGTCCATGGACTAAAAGACAGGTAAGAAGTCGATCCTCTGCTCCTTTAGACTCTTGCATGCTGTTGGATACTGTAAGATTCCATCCATCCATCTTTGCTCGCTTCTTCCTTTGAATGTCATGGGGGTTCACCGGTGCCCATATCCAGCAGTCACTGTGCGAGAGGCGGGGGACACCCTGGACAGGTCTCCAGTCCATCGCAGGGACAGAGACAAACAACCATTCCCATTCACACCTAGAGACAATTTAGAGTTACCAATCAGTCTAACATGCATGTTTTTGGTCTGTGGGAGGAAACCGGAGTACCCGGAGAAAACCCACACACGCACCAAGAGAACGTACAGACTCCACCCAGTTTCCACCCAGGGAATTTTATAGGCGGGGCACGGTGTCCTCCTTGGATAATGGTAGGGGAAACACTGAAGCATCCTGCCCAAGTTATATCAGTACGTCACAGCTCTGACTTAGGAAAACACCATGCTTACACCAAGAGGATATGCATATAAATCTGTACCCCTCCCCCACCCGTGCCTCTCCAACCACATCGCCTCCATGCTGGCCCCAGCAGACCTCCCCCTCCCCTGCATACCTCCCCCTCCTGAAACCAAACCAGAACATAAGACGTTCACTGTGTGGCCCACTGATGCTGTCCCCATGCTGCAGGACTGCTTTGAGTGCACAGACAGGCAGGTCTTCAGAAGGGCAGCTGTCTGTGAGGACAAGGTGGACCTTCAGGACTTTAAATCTGCTGTCCTGGACTACACAGAGAAGTGTGTTGAGGATGTCACTCTTGCCTAAGACTAATGAGCTACACAAACCAAAAATCCTGGATGAATGCGAAGGTCAAGTCACTGCTGAAAACCAAAAGTGATGCACAGTATTTTAGGGGTGTGAGAACAGAGCTGATTGCAGGAGGAAAATTGTCCAAAACTACATATGCTAAGAAAATCCAGGGACACTTGACATCCCAGGTGGGGCATCAGGTGCATCACTGACTACAACATCAGCAGTGCAGTGTCCCAACAACCCCTCTCTGCCTGACATACTCAACAAGTTCTACAGCCACTTCAAGGGCCTCATCATGTCTCCAAGCGCCACACTCCTTCGCCACCAAAAGACCAAAGGAAGAGCCCCTCAGCATGACCCCAGCTAAAATGAGCAAGTTCCTCAAGAGGGTCAACTCATAAATGAGCCGGCCCTGTTCTCAGGACATACTGAACACGTCCCTCACACAAGCAGCTGTCTCTGCATGCTTGAAGAACACTACCATTATCCTCTTACCCAAAACCTCCACATTCCCAAGCATGAATGACTATCAGCTGGTAGCCCTCTCACAGGTAGCCATGAAGTGCTTTAAAAGACTGATTATGGTCCACATCAAATACACCATCAAATTCACTGTCCATCCCCAATGATATGCCATCGTCTCTTTGTGAAATTTGCACATGACACAGCTGTGGCTGGATGGATGACCAACAACGATCAGTCCGGCAACAGGCAGGAGGTGGAACACTTGGACCGTTGGTGTAGCAATAACAACCTCTGCTTCAACGTAAAGAAGATGGAGATGATTATGTAATTTATAAAGGGCAGAAACCACCACCATCCCTGCACATCAGATGGAAGCACTCTCCATCAGGTACCAAGGGATTAATCTAATAAACTCACCAGGAGCAACAACACCTCCAGCCTGATCCACAAGGCTCACCAGTGCCTTTACTTATGGCTGAGGTGTGTAAGGCTGTGGAGCCCAGTCCTGACTTCCTTCTACAAGCATACAAGAGCATCCTGTGCTCCTGCATCCTTGTATAGCGTGGCATCTGCTCTGCAGCATAGAAAACATTTGCACAGGGTGGTGAAGGCTGCTTAGAAGAACAACTCCTGTCTCTGTGGAACCATGTATCCCTACAGCTAAAAGCAGTGATGACTTCTTGAGATTCTTTATAAATAAATGTATTTCAGTTAGAAAGAAAATTCACACCATCCTTCCTTTTATTGCCTCTGATTCCCTATCAGATGAGGCAGCTTTAGAAATTTCACTAGAACCTGATTTGTGTTTGGACAGTTTTTGTCCTGTTGAACTCTCTGAACTGTCAAAAATAATAACTTCATCCAAACCATCCACATGTCTGCTAGATCCCATCCAAACCAGACTGTTTAAAGAGGTACGTCCCCTAATATCCACATTTTGGATCTGCTTAATTTGTCTCTAATGAACCAATACGTACAATTCAGTTCAATATAATTCAATTTAATTCAATTCAGTTTATTTGTATAGTGCCAAGTCACAACAGAAGTCATCTCAGGGCACTGAACAGAAACATTCATGCTTTGAATTAAATGTCATCACAGACTCTCATCTTGAGCAAGCATGAAGGCGACAGTGGAAAGGAAAAACTCTCATGATGAAGCACCCTTTAGCAGAACCAGGCTCAGGACAAGTGGCCATCTGCTTTGACCAGCTGGGTTTGAGAGGAACAGGAAGGAGGAACAGATACACAATGGCAGGTCAAGAATCACAAGTTAAGATATAATTAATATCAAATGAAAACTATTCAATTTTAACAATTACTTTAAGGAAATGAGGTCAATTTGTCCTCTAGTAGTTTAAGCCTATATCAGCATAACAAGCCAACCCTAACTATAGGATTTATCAAAAAGGAAAGTCTTAAGCCCAGTCTTAAAACTGGACAATGTGTCAGCCTCATGGACAGAAACTGGAAGTTGGTTCGACAAGAGAGGAGCCTGAAAATTGAAAGATCTTCCTCCCATTCTGCCTTTGGAAACTCTAGGAATCGCAAGTAAGTCTGCAGTCTGAGAGCGAAGTGCTCTGTTAGGAAAATATGGAACAGTAAGATCTGTAAAATAAGATGGGGTTAGGTTGTTGAGAGCTTTGTAGGTTAGAAGTAAGATTTTGAATTCTATTCTGGATTTGGCAGGGAGCCAATGGAGAGAAACTAAAACTGGAGTGATATGATCTCTCCCACTAACTCCAGTTAAGAATCTGGCAGCAGCATTTTGGACAAACTGAAGACTTTTTAAAGACGTATTTGGACACCCAGATAACAAACCATTGCAATAGTCCAGTCTATACATGACAAATACATGAACCAGTTTTTCTGCATCATTTTTAGATGAGATGTTTCTAATTTTAGTGATATTGCGCAGGTGGAAGAAGGTGGTTCTGGTAACATTTTTAATGTGGGTGATAAAAGACATGTCCTGATCAAAAATTACACCAAGATTTTTAACATTAGAGCTGGAGGACAGATTAATGCCATCTGAGGAGGGTGAAAGACTGAAAAATGTGTATTTGTGTATTGTATTTGTAATTATTTCTATCTTAACATGTTTTTTGTATGTCCTCCTATAGAAACTACACCTGGACCTGTCATTACGTGTTTGTTTGTTTCTCTTTTCCTGTTCTCTCAAACACGAGCTGTTCGAAGCAGATGGCTGCTTTTCCTGAGCCTGGTTCTACTGGAGGTTGTTTCTTGTTAAAAGGGAGTTTTTCCTTTCCACTGTTGCCTTTGTGCTTGCTCAGGGTGGGAGACTCTGAGGAATGAAGATTAATCTGTGGCTTCCTTAGACAGTTAACTTTTACCAACTGGCTTTTATAATTTGTGAATGTTTTTGTGCAGTGTGCCCTGAGATGACTTTTGTTGAAATTTGGAGCTATAGAAATGAATTGAATTATTTAGAAGTTTGCCTTATGTATCTAATCAAACAAAGCTAATGTTCTTCATATAAGGATGTTTCTGTTTCAGAGGACTTGAATGTTCTCAAAGGAACTGAATAAAATAACAAAAATTAACCTCCAACTTTTCTGTTTGTTTTGAATCATGTTCAGAACCAAAACAGAGTCCTCTGTTCCAGTAATTGGACAGAATGTGAAGTTTAAGGACACATGCCAACAGCATTTAACCAACAGAAAGACTTTTGTGTCTCCACCAGGTCCATTGTCCTCATGACAACTAAAGGCCGTATGGTTCCCAGGGGATCCTGGACCAAAGTTCTGGAGAAACTTGGTGCAAGCAAAAGCACCAAATTAAAAGGTATTTATTATTTCTCCTAAAATACTTTTATTAATATGCTCGCAATATGGCCATTTTATCAATAAAACAAATGGTATGCAGATGATTTGTGACCTGTAGTGAGTAGGAGGAAGAGAGCCTGGAGAGGTTGACTTATGCTCCACAGAGTGGAGTGGATGGTGTGTGTGTGTGTGTGTAGGGTGGAGTTGTGAAAGAAAAGGAAGGTTTCCAGGAGAGTTTAGAGCTGTGTAATGTTTGGCTTGGACACAGTGTGTCTCTAATAACGGACAAGAAGAGGAGCTGGATGTGACAAAGATGAAAATGTTCTTACCTGCAGGCAGGTTCATTTTGGCTCAGATCAAAACGTCTGCTAGAATTTAACTCACAATCATTTTCAGTAACTTATAGGTAAAAAAAAAAAATTTTTTAAGCTACAACAATGTTAGCATTGCTGCATAAAAATGTGACTCCTGAATGTGACCTTGTGTTTTTTTACAGAAAAGATGGTGTTTGTGGGCTTTAAAGGCTCGTTTCAACCAGACTGGGTCAAACTGGAAATTGGCACTGAGCAGGCAAAGATCCATCAGGTTCTGAGTGTTCCTGTGCTGCACAAGATGAAGCTGTAAACAGCAGACCAAAGGTCAGAGGTCATAGACTGTTTTTAAAACATGGACCTGACCCAGAACTGAAGACAGTTTTCTTATCAGATGAATAAGAAATGCACTTTGTTTGATGTTTTTAAGATTCATTGCAAATATTTCATAGACTATAAGTTTTACAAGTACAACTAACATATTCTGTTAGATCAATCTTATCTTTGATAAATTTATTTCTGCTGAACATAAAGAATCATGTGACTCAGGTTCGATGTGAAACATTGATGTTTGTCTGAAGCTGCATGAAGATGAAAACTGAAAACAAACAAAAAGGAAACAGAAAAAGGTTTATTAATAAAAGTATTTCCTGTTCAGTTTCCCAAAGCCACTCCAACCATTGCACTTTCGTTTCACTTCTTTAATCCTGGCCTCTAAATTATTATTTGTATTTATGGCCTTTATAAGATAGAAAATGTGGAAATACTGCATATCAGATTATTTTAAAAGTTGTATAAAAATAAAATTAATTCCTGTGTTTGTTAGAGAACAGGCTTATTGTATAAAAAGCAAATTAATCTGTGTCCGGTGTGGTGAGTTATATTATTATGTTTGATTTATATTATTTCAAAAATAAACAACTACAGTATTTACTAAATGTCTACAAACAAAACTGTGTGGTTTTCTTGTAAAGTTGAGAAAATTTGAAAAAGTTTACGTTTTTGCCCAACCAGATTTATATTTGTAAATTAGAATCTCCCTTTTCTCGACTTTGTTTTGTTCTAGTTGTAGAGGGCTGCTGTTTCTGTTTTTATATGACCCTGACCCCGCCTCCCTATGACCCCGCCTCCATGTGACATCGGCCCTGCTTCCATGTGACCGCCCGTCCATATGACCCTGACCCCACCTCCATCTGACCTTCAATACCTACTTGCCTGTAACCCCGCCTCCCTGTTAAACTGACCCCGCCTCCCTGTTAAACTGACCCCGCCTATGACCCTAACTCCCTAACCAGGAACAAAGTCCTACAAATTGGACTGATGAATTTTCTGATTAGTAAACAAATCTTTTTGCTGAAATAGTTGCTTTTTTCTCCTCAAAGGTGTTGTATGTTTTTCTAAAGTTTAGATGTAATTTCTTAATTTTCTGTACATATTATGTAAAACAGAGGTTTTGCTTTGGGCCGTTATGTTTTTGATGTAATTTTATCTCCATTCTTTAGATCTTCATATGTTTGACGAATGATAGACAGGTTGTAGATTTCACTGCTGTTTGTAAAGTGATGAAAGGAGTTTTGTATAAACAAATATATGATAAATGTTTGAACGTCTTTTAAATGCAAAACAATAAAATATCTACTGGTAAAATCTTATGCATCGTTACCTGTTCATTTAAATAACACTGTATTATGCTACATGAGCTGTGACAGAAACAGCAAATGCTCATTGACCTGTTTGTGACCAGTGAGCCGTACGACCCTGATTTGAGTCCAAGATTAAAAAACAGAGGCTTATTTCTGCTTTTTCAACTCGAAAAACTTCATCCATATATCTCCTCTTTATCTTTTTCCTGGCAGCTGCATTTCTACCATCCTTCTACCAATATACCCACTGTCCCTCCTCTGGACATGTCCAAACCATCTCTATATGGTCTCTAACTTTATCGCCCAGTTGTACCTGTGCTGCACCTCTGATGATCTCATTCCTAATCTTCTCCATCCTTGTCACTCTTAAGAACCTCAGCATCTTCATTTCTGATACTTCCAGTTCTTTCTTCTGTCGTTTTGTCCATGTTTCTGTCTTTAAACTATACAACACCACTCACCACTGTCTTGTAAACTTTTCCTTTGACCTTTGCCGACACCCTTTTGTCACAAATCACTCCTGAAACTTTTCTCCATCCACTCCATCCTGCCTGGACTCGCTTCTTTACCTTTTTACTACATTACCCATTTTCCTGGACAGTGGACCCCAAATTCTTGAAGTCCTGCACCTTTGTGACTTCTGCTTCTTGTAACCTCACTGTTCCACCCGAGTCCTCTCTTATAGGTTGCTCTATGTTCCTCCCTCTTTTCGAAATAAGTGTTGATTACAGCCATTTCCATTCTCTTGGCAAAACCCACCATTTTGTCCTTCCTGGTTTCTTTCCTTGACACCAAACCTACCCATCACTTCCTCATCCCCTCTGTTTCCTTCACCAACGTGCCCATTCAGGTCTGCTCTGATAACCATTCTCCCTCCTCCTTAGGAATACTCTCTATCACTTCATCCAGATCCTTCCAAAATGTATCTTTCTTCTCCACATCACATCCAACCTGTGGAGCATAACCACTGACATTTAGCATCAGATCTTCTACCTTCAGACACATCACCCTGACACTCATTTCACCTCTACTACATTATTTGCCAACTCCTCCTTCAGGACCACCCCTACTCGATTTCTCTTTCTATCCACACCATGGTAAAACAGTTTGAACCCTGCTCCAATGCTGTGAGCCTTGCTGCCCTTCCACTTGGTCTCTTGGACACAAAACTATCTACCTTCCTTCTCTGCATCATGCCAGCCAGCTCTCTACCTTTGCCTGTCATTGTCCCCACATTTAAGAGTTGCAACCTTCAATCCTACATTCTTGACTTTCTTCTCCCTCCATCTACTGACATGTTTCCCTCCTCGTGGTCTTTGACCAACTTTAGCACAATTTCACTGTAGTTTTACTTTTTACAGCAGTCCAGTTTGTTTGTTTACATGTTAATACAATTTTAAAATTACTTTACAGTAGTGTAAGTTAAGGTAGTATACCTCATAGTAACAGTAAGTTTTTGAGATAGTCTATATGTATGCAGTAGTACTTTACCTTATACTACGGTAATTGTTTACTATTTATTTACCAGTCATGAGACAGGGTTATTTGTATAAAACGGTTGAATTCAACAGGAAATGTGGTTCTGTAAGATTTTCTTACAGCCGTCAACTTTGTTTTCCAGTTGAGTTGCATAAAAAAAGACAACTAATTTTTTGATTGTGTTTGCTTCTGACATTCAGACATCAGCCGCTCAGAATTTACAGCTGCAAATATTTTTACTAATCCTGTCTATTGTGACCCAACTGGAACCAGATCTACAGGAAACCGGGTCCCTTAGTCCTTAGTGTTAGAACGCTGCAGGGTCACACAATTTAAACTCCAGGAATAAAAAAAACTTTTATTTTCGCTTTCCGTGAAAAACAATTTAACAGACAATCAAAGAACCCGCAGCAGAAAGTCTGGATCAGATGAAGCTGTTTCCTCGGGACCAACAGGGCCTGAGAACAAGATCTTAGTAAATAATAATAATGTGCTATGAAACACTGATTATTTCAACAATCAATAACTGCTTGGGTTCAGCAGAACCACTGATGAATGTCCATGTGATCCTACAGAGCCTCACTTATTGGCTGGAAGAAACGGGATGTGTAAGTCCATCAGAACACGTCCAGAACCTCCTGCAGTCTCTCACAGCTCCTGCTTCAGAGGAGAGGCGCTGTTACCCTGCAGGTCGGGCTTCTTGTTCTCCACCTTCTTGGCCTTTTTCTTGGTTCCGTTGCTTTGCTGTTTGGATTTGGTTCCGTCGTTGCCGGCAGCCCTCCCTGGAAACACCTGGCCCTCCACCGTCACATCTGCACAACGCTCCTGAGCCACCAGGAAGTCTCGGACCTCCCAGGCCAAACTGCCGTCCCGCAGCATGAAGATGACCCGGTTAGAACCCACGACGAACCTGGAGGAGCACGCACACATGCACGTTTATAAATCGTTTTATTCTATCCAATCCAACTTTATTTAGAAAACACTTTAAGAAAAACCATTGAGGACCAAAGTGCTCAAGTTCAAAAGCACAAAAGGAATAAAATACAAAAAAAAGATAAAAAAGACAAACAGCTATGCAATTAAAAAATAAAATTAAAACAATTAAAGGAGAACATACTAAATTACATACTAAAATTCAATTCAGTTTATTTTTATAGTGTCAAGTCACAACAGAAGTCATCTCAGGGCACTGAACAGAAACATTCATAACATACTACAGATACTAAATGGATCTGCACCTGATCTTTCTGAACAATCATCTAAAAGCAAAAATGAAATATTTTCAGAAAACTGAAGTCTGCAGAACTTCGGACCAGAACTTCTCACTCACTGGGTGTAAAATCACAACAGCGCCACCAAGTGGACCAATCAGAATCTCTTGTTGTGCTTCTGGGACGTTTCCATTCAATCGATGATGACGTTCTGCTGTTTGAGGTTAAATGTGGTTCAGTTTCTTCTGATTTAAACCATAAAAGTTCAAACTCTTGAAAAAACATTGTTTAAAAACCTCCCGAGTCATGTTTCTGCGCAATCAGGTGACTTTCAGGACTTTGCACAGTCATCCCTCACTATAACTGGGTTCCACGTCTTGCAGCTTCACTGTATTGTGATTTTTTTTATATTGTGTGTACTGTATCATCATCTTCATCGCCAAAGTGTTTAAGAACATATGAAGTGTTTATATGAGTGAGAGTGTCATAAGTCATGCCTGTCTGTTCACCACGCCCACCTGCTCCGCTGTGATCAGCATAATTCTTCTCGCCTGGTGGTGCGGCATTTAAACGCTCCCGTTCTCTATCCGGTGCCAGATTATTGAAAGCCTTGCGCAAGTAACTGTCCAGCAATTACGTCAAGCTCCTGACTGATCCAATCATCCTGGCCAAGTTTCTGTGACCTGGGTTTTCCCGTTTTGCCTTGTGAAACTTTCCAGTGCGTTTCCACAGACGTGTGCCGACTCCCACCAGTCTTTTCAAAATAAAGCTTATTGACTGCACTCTGCGTCTGGTTAAAATTTTGGGTCCTCCGCTAAATTCATCACAGGGAAAGGTTAATAAGAGAGTGGAAAAGGTTTATAAAGCCTTAAATATATATAAATAATCAAATTAATTGAACGCAGATACTTGGCAGATTTTCACCTATCGCGGGGGTCACCGGAACCTAACCCTTGCATACATCCCTACACGCGTGTGAAGCACCGTTCACACAGGAGGCCTCAGGTGTTTGCTCTCCAGTTGGTAACAAACAGGTTCAGGTACCTCTGAATGTCGTAGTTGGCGTTGAACAGGCTGCCCTGCCACAGTCCTGTGATCTCCTCTGTCTCCTTCTCCGTGGGATCTCCTGACACCGTAGCAAACACCATCAGGGTCCGGCCTTTCTTTGACATCTTCAGAAGCTCTTCTGGTTTGGACGCATCCACCTTGGAGAAATCGATGGGTGGCGGAGAGCGTCTGTGCTCGGGAAGATCTCCTTCTTCAATGTCGTCATCCTTCTGAAAAGATAAACAGGAAACCTCAGACGCCGCACTGCTTTAACATTGCTCAGTCTAAATATGTTGTTTATTTAACTGAACCACAACAACTAACTCTTAAACTCTGTAGACTACAGCTTTACAGAAGATGATTTTCACGTTTTTCCTTGGAGCTCAGGATTATGCCCTTGTGAATTTTTAGAATGATGTAGACGGGAAGTTACTCTTTTACCTTGTCTTTGATTGGAGGGATTCTGTCGTTTCTTCATGCAGTTCACAGGTGATGAAAATGTTGCTCTAGTTCAACAAGCTTAAAACGCATGTTTAGGAGCACTCAGTCAAAGGTTGATCGCACTAAAATATAATATTTTATATGACTATGCTGAATGTCCTGTCATGGCAGATGCATAACATTAACAACGATTAATCTTTAGTCCAAAAACTTTATTTTTGGTCCATCTAGTTTAGTACTGTCTAGTTCTTTTGATAGTTCTAAATCATACGGTTTATGGTTATTAACTGATTAATATAAGTAGCCAATGTTAAGGACGTCCAGTGAATTTCATTAGCTCAATAAATAAGTTATGCTAATTTGTTGTTTGTTCCAAGTCAATCTCAGTTTTTGTTTTTTTCAAGGTTAAACAAAAAGAATAAAAAAGAGGCAAAATTTCCACAACTTCTTTATTTCTTCCCGTCTTCTTATTTTGGCTTTTCCCTCTTCAGGAGTCTCCACAGCAAGTCGTCCTCCTCTATCTCACTCTGTCCTCTGCATCTTCTGTCCTCACTCCAGCTACATCCATGTCCTCTCTTACTTACATACATCTTCACTTTGGCATTTCTCTTTGTCTTTTTTCCTGGCAGATGCATTTCTAACATCTTTCTACCAGTATACCCACTGTCCCTCCTCTGGACATGTCCAAACCATCTCAGTGTGTCCTCTCTAACTTCATCTCCCAGTTGTTCAACCTGTTCTGTACCCCTGCTGATCTCATTCCTAATCTAATCCATCCTTGTCACTCCTGAGGAGAACCTCAACATCTTCATTTCCACCACTTCCAGTTCTTTTCCTGTCTTTTTGTCCATGTCTCCAGACCATACAACATAGCTGATGTCGCCACTGTCTAGTAAACTTTTCCTTGGATGTTTGCCGACACCCTTTTGTCGCAAATCACTCAAACTTTTCTCCATCCACTCTGTCCTGCCTATACCGTATTATTTTACATTAGTACAGTTTAGCGTAGATCTTAATAAAAACTTTTGGCGTTTGTTTAACATATATCTTAGCTTTTTTTTTTTTCAATCTTTATTTATACAGGCTAGTCTCATTGAACCATGAGGACTCATTTACAAAAGACCTGTTCCAGACAGAACATATAAAGTACAGACAACAATAACAATAAACTACAGTAAAAATGCAATTAAAATAAAAGCAATGTTATAAAACAATTTTTTCATCTATTATCAATAGATATTTATATACCATTTATTTTTATACTTTATATTTTTGCTATTTTTGGTGTAATTGGGACATAATTTGTTTCACCTCATGTAAAGCGAATGACAATAAAAAACCTTGAACTTAATAACTGTAAGGATAACTGCAGCCAGTTTAACATCACTGTCATGAGCCAAGCTAGCAGCTGTTAGCCTCTTTCTGCTGAATACAGAGACTCACGAACCTCCCACTGTTCCAGGAGCCGAGCCATATCTGCGTCATTGTAATCTCTGATGTCCTTCTTCTTCTTTTTCGTTTTTTCTTCATTCTCCAACGATAAAACACAAATCAAACATGAGCCGAGCAGCAGAACACACAACCATCTCAGGGAGGCCGCCATCTTTACAGATGTTGCGCCGTGATTGGCTGGAAAAAGAACCTGTCACGAGACGCGTCAGAGACGTAAAATCCAACCGGATATCCAAAACCTGTGAAAGAATTAAAATAAAGCTGAAAATCAGTTTTACGTTTGTGTACTATGGCACCGTTTTGGCTGCGAGTGTCTTCTCGCTAACCAACCTGTGACAAACATTATTATTATTGTACTGTTTTTGCTGGACCTTTTGAATAAAGTTAATTTCCTCCCGATTGTCTTCTAAATAATATAATTTTATAAAGATTTTGCATATTATGGACAAATAAAAGCACGAAACAGAAGATTAACAAACATCGTTTATTTATTTTGAAAATAAAACAAGAGTTCTTTCTCTGCTATAGGGACTAAATGATGATGCATTCCGGTCTTTGAGGGGAAGTTAACTGCTGTTTTAAAGGATTCTTTGACCTCTCTATAAACTTGGATCTCTTCTGATCCTTTGCAGATCTCAGAAACAGGAATTTTATTCGACCTTTCACGCTGATGGCTCGATTTTATTTTGAAAACGCCAGCTTCCGGTTAGCATGCTAGGCTAACACTTCATGTGACGCTACAGCGGCGTCTCATTTCGGAGCGGCAGCGCGTGTCCCCTGCACGTTAGAGTGGTTCTGTTCCGGATCGGTTCAGTTTGTGTGGGTCTGTAAACCGGATCGGTCCGTGTGAGACCTCATCCGGCCCCTGAAACGGGTCAAAAGTCGAGTGGGAACGGAGGACTGTCGGTGTGTTCCCGCAGTTCTGGCCGGTCCAGCCGTTCGGCGGACCACACCCTCCCCGCTTCCTCAAAGTTACGACCCGGAGCGCGCGGCGGGGCGCTGAAGACCCGGATTAACGGACGACTTTCTCAGTGGATCTACATGAGAGGAGATTTCTTTAAAGAACCCGGGCTGATATGGACCAGAGAGGGGATCCCGGTCCATCTCCGGTCCCGAGCTGAGCTGCAGACCGGACCATGAAGCAGCTGCCGAACCCGGGACTCAGTCTCAGAAGGAAGAGGTTAAAAACGGACTGAAGAGGCTCCGTGGTGGATTTAACTCCTGAAATTATGGTGCTGGAGGGGAACCAGAACCACCAGGGTGGTGTTCCGAGCATGATGAGTCCAACGGGTCAAAGGTCAGAGTCTGTGGGAACCAGAACACCCCGGCACAGTTTCAGACACCTCCTGATAAAAAACTGATCGAACTGTCTGATCCACCTGGACATGAGTTGTTGGGTCCAATTAGAACTCCGGACTTTGTCTTTTCTTAGAACCTGGTGGTTCTGCGAGTTCTCAGACCCTGGTCTGCAGCGAGGTTCTGGTTTCTGTTTTTCAGGGCATTTACATTCAGACTGACCCAGGTCTGACCTGGGATTAATATGTCATGTTATTGTAAAAACTTTATTTATAAGATCGTTAACAGCAGAGCAGTAACCGAGTTCTCATGTTTACATTTATCTGACCGTTGTTTATTTTAGTTTCCTGTTTATCTGTTTATCTGACCGTTTCCTGTTTATCTGACCGTTTCCTGTTTATCTGACTGTTTCCTGTTTATTTTAGTTTCCTGTTTATCTGTTTCCTGTTTATCTGACTGTTTCCTGTTTATTTTAGTTTCCTGTTTATCCGTTTCCTGTTTATCTGACCGTTTCCTGTTTATTTTAGTTTCCTGTTTATCTGTTTCCAGTGTGTAACACCTAATGTACAGGTAGTACCTGATCTCTGAAGACTTGAGGGTTTTTTTTTTTAATTGTTTTTTTTTTTTAGAAGAGTTTGAACTGTTAGGTGTGAGAATGCAGTGTGCAGCATCACCTGGATCCAGATAATCTGGACCCACTCTCCGGACCGCCCTCGGTATTATGGCGAGTAGTGGTTCTGGGAAGTCGTCCGGTGAGGGATCCAGCAGCCCGGTCAGCAGCGGTCTGCAGCAGAGAAAGAGACTCTCCTCCATCTGTGACGCCTGTAAAGCCAAGGTGCAGCTGGTGGCAGACCTCCTGCTGCTGTCCAGCGAGACCAGGCCGGTCTTGACGTCCGAAGGAGTGGTGCTGGCCGACACCTTCGACCAGTGCCGAGACACGGTCATCGCTCGGACCAAAGAGCTGTCCATCCTGACCCACGACATCCAGAGCCAGCTCAACATGGGCCGCTTCACCGAGGTGGGGGGCCGCCTGCTAGAGATGGCAGACCTGGTGGTGTCTCTGACCGAGTGCTCGGCCCACGCCGCCTACCTGGCTGCTGTGGAGAGCCCCGGCTCTCAGCCCTGTCTGCCAGGCCTGGTGGACCGCTACAAGGTGACTCGCTGCCGTCACGAGGTGGAGCAGAACTGCGCTGTCCTCCGGATCTCTCCTCTGTCGGACCTCACCCCCCAGCTGCTCCTGGAGCTGTCCCAGAACATCTCCACCAACCTGAAGACTCTGTCGGACATCTCGCTGCTGGCCAGCGATGGGTCTCGGGACCGCTTCGCCAAGGAGCAGTTCAAGCTGAGCGTGAAGAGCATCAGCACCTGCGGCACCGCCTTCCTGGCCTGTGTCAGGGAGGTGAAAACTCAACCCAGCGAGCTGACCAGAACCCGCTGCGTCCTCTTCAGCGCTGCTCTGGGTCAGGCCGTCAGTGCCCTGGTTGGCTTTGCCACGGAGCCTCAGTTCCTGGGAAGACCTGCAAGTATCTCAGCTGAAGGAAAGGGGGTCCAGACTGCAGTGCTAGGAGGAGCGATGAGCGTGGTCTCTGCCTGTGTCCTCCTGACTCAGGGTCTCAGAGACGTGGCCCAGCATCCCGACAGCAGCTCCAAGATGGCCGAGTACCGGGAGCGCCTGAGGAACTCTGCGTGTGCGGTTTCTGACGGCTGCACTCTGCTGACGCAAGCTCTCAGGGAGCGCTCGTCTCCTCGGACTCTGCCCCCGGTCACATCTGTCACTTAGTCCAGGAAGCCTCCAGTGAGCCAGAACAGGACTGTTGGGACTGCAGCAGGTCTGAAACCAGCTCCGCAGGGTTCTGTGTCATGCTGGATGTGACATGGACTCCGACAGAAGCGAGGACTCTGATCCTCATGGTCTTGATCTGGAGTCAGCAGCAGTTCTGACCTGGTGATGATGGATTCCTGACGTGTTTCATCATTCTGTGAGATTAAAACGACTTTTGTTTTACTGAGTGTGAAATCTAAAGTGTTAAAGCTGCTGTGAGAGTGTGTGTTGGGTTTTTACACTATTTACCAAAACTCAATGGATGTTTCATGTAAACAAGTATTTATTTCAACCATTAAAGCAGTTGGTTCTGATCCGAGTTCTTGGACTGATGTGCATCAATAAACAACGCGTGCAGAGACTTCTGAACATGACTGGTGGGGTTACACAACTCTGCATTACACCAAATATACCTGAAGTACAAGACAAAGTCTGGTAAATAAATACAAATATTAAAATTCAGTTCTCTTCATAAAGCACTAATTTTACAACAAAATCATCTCCGAACACTAAAACATCCACACGTTATAAAAAGGACAAAAACCCATTTTATTTTGACAGTTTCCTGTTTATCTGACCATTTCCTATTTAGTTTCCTGTATTGGACTGTTTCCTGTTTTATCTTTCCGTTTCTTGTTTAGCTGACTGTTTTCTGTTTATCTGACATTTCCTGTTTAGTTTCCCATTTCTGACTGTTTCCTGTTTTATCTGTTTGTTTCCTGTTCATCTGACCGTTTCCTGTTTATCTGACTGTTTCTTGTTTATCTGACTGTTTCCTGTTTGATTACAGTTGCCTGTTTCTGAACATTTTCTGTTTGTTTCCCATTTAGCTGACCATTTCCTGTTCATCTGACTGTTTCCTGTGTGTAACACCTAATGTAGTACCTGATCTCTGAAGACCTCAGTTTTTTTTAGTTTTTTTTTTTTTTAGAAGAGTTTGAACTGTTAGGTGTGGGAATGCAGCATCACCTCGATTCAGATAATCTAGACCCACTGGACCCGCTTCCTGGACTGCCCTCGGTATTATGGCAAGTAGTAATTCTTGGAAATCGTTTGGTGAGGGATCCAGCAGCAGAGAAGGAGACTCTCCTCCATCAGTGAGGCCTGTAATAAAATGTCCAGAAACATTCACACGCATTCTGAAAGTCCAGTTATAAGGAAGCTGCAAAATTGTGTTGAGTCTTCACTTCGTCACAAGCTCCCATCCTGAGCAGCTTATTGATTGAAGTGGAAGAAAACGTCTCTGAACAAGAAACCTCCAGCAGACAGATGGGCAGCTGGAGATCAATCAGTCAACCTTTATTTATACAGATAAATCCCATTGAGCCTCGAGGACTCATTTACAAGAGACCTGATTTCAACAAAGAAAGATGACAACAATGGACAACAACAATAAAGTTATAAAAAAGCATACTACAGTATTTTTTTTTTTTTAACAAATAGGATGGCTAAAAGGAAAAGGTAACAAAACAAAAAACAGCTAGATTCCAAGACAAATGTAGAAAACTAAAAACAGGAACATGTCTGCATTGGACCCTGCCAGGAGTCCAACAGATTCTTAAAGACACTTAGAGAGGTCAAGGTCGAGAGCTTCAAATCTTTTTGTAAGATATTCCAGGAAACAGGAGCGGAATAGGAGAAGGCCCTTTTGCCTAGTTCAGTCCTCATTGAGGGAACACTGCAGGTAATAATGTCCTGAGAGCGCACTCCGTAGCTCCACTCATGCAGAGACGACAGGAAGCAGACACAGACAAACAGGAAGTGGTCATAGTGCTGGGTTTATGGGAAGACAACCTCATTACTGGAAATATTTGCATGAAAGTATGAAAAACTAACGAGAAAGATAGCTTAAATTTGAAATAGTTCAAGTTTGTAAAACTGAGTCTCAGATACGTTCAGGTTTAACTCTGGATTAAGCCGCAGCTCATCTCTCCTGATTAATTTGAACCTCAGAAGGTTTTCAACTTGAATTATCTTTGACCCGAGCTTCCTGTCACTTCAGGGGTTTCAGCAATTATCGGAGGCTGACTTTCTACTCTGTTTTTAGCCTGCCTGTCTCATTAAGAGTGCTGTCAGGGAGCGAGGGGCACAGGTGTGTGGTTACCATCAGATGTTTGTTTTCCTGAAGGTTAATGGGACTGCAGTCTAAACTCAATATCTGTGGACACGAATGAATCGAGCCTCAGTTCCTCCAGGAACAAACCACTGCAGCACAGTCCTGACGTTTTCTGTGACATGAAGGGCTGAGGTTTCAATTGGGTCCAAATCCAGCTGTACTCAGGCGTCCTGACAGAACTGAGGTTCAAGCTGCGGGTCCACAACAGGAAGCCCACAGCTGCTGCTATCTGGAAGGACTTCCTTCACAGGAAAAATTGTTGCAGTTTAATTTTAGACAGAGGTTTCGCCCACTTCCTGCAGCAGGAGGGAAACACGCCTTTCCTGTTCCTCAGGGAAAAAGCTGCAGTCTGGTCACGAGCACCTGCAGGGATTCAAGTAACAGAACCACGGCACCAGAACCTTTACATTTATTCACAGCATTCTCTTATAAACATGCTGTAAGGAAACTTTCAAAGATTCTGGAGTTAGTCAAAGTAAACCCACAGTTTTTTTAAGCGGTCCAAACAGGGCTGTGAAAGAGAACTATCATCTGTTCACTGTCAGAACCAGATCTAGAGTCTGATGAAGACAATCAGTAGGTTTGGAGACATTCGAGGTAAAACCAGCGACCAACAGCCAGTGCAATTGCCTGTAATAATGGAAGATGTGGTTCTGACTGCACGTTGCCTCTGCTGAAGGGTCCGGTACCAAACCCCTGGAGACAGGAGGCTGTGTGAGGTCATTTGAGTAGGTGTTTTATTTTGGAAGCCAGGCAGCGGGCCACATTACTGTTGAACGTAAGAGGAAACCTATGAGAAAAGAACGAGCACAACAATGCATTATTTATGGCTCCAGCAGATTGAATGACAGACAGACGGCTGTCCCCAAACGGGAAGGTTCTGATTCCGCAAGTGGATCGTTCATGTGGTGAGCCACGTTAACCGCTTAACCACAGGTTCAATGAGCAGATAGGTTTGTCGTGTCCACGAGTCTCTTGGTTTTCAGTGTCTAAAACTCTTGAGTTTAGAAAAGTTCATCATTACTAAAACAAAACTAAGATTGACCTCTGAGTAACTTCTCCATAACTTGTCCTGAGCAGATACATAACTTATGGTATGACAGTTTTGTTTTTTTTTTTGACTCATGCAGTGCAGGTTGGAGAAGGTGAAATCCCTGATGCCCAGCCGTTCTCCTCCTCCCTCCCTCCCACACACACCTCTCACACACCTTGCCCCGCTTCCCTTTGCAGCCTGGAACATTAACCCTTTAAGGTACAAATATTCCAACATGCTGTGGAAACATCTGATAGTAGTCATAGATATCTAATGGAACAGAGTCGTTATGTGTCTGTTTACGACTCTTTCCAGTGACCGCTGCTCGTCCTGAGCCTGGTTCTGCTGGAGGTTCCTTCTTGTTCAAAGGGAGTTGCTTCTTTCCACTGTCGTCTGTGTGCTGCTAAGGCTGGGAGGTTGTAATGAAGGGGAAGATGTTGATTACTTTTACTAACTGGAATTTTGAATGTAAGTGAATGTTGTTATACAAAGACTTGAGAAATCATTTGTTGTGAAATGATGCTGTATAAACAAACTGAACTGATCTGAAGATTGATCAGACGATTGAACAGATGTTCAGTGATATGATAGAACTTACTGGACGTGTGAGTAAATTCTGATCAGGATGCAGAAATTAAAAATCTTAAGGATGTAGAAATACATATGTGCAAGTGAAAATAGACGACACAGATGCAAACCAAGGGTAGAACTCCCTGTGATGTAGTAACACAAGTTAGACACTAGAGGGGGGAATATGTCAACATGTCCACAATGAGGACAACTGTCCATTTTCAAGTCAAATCCAGGCTCTTTACCGTCATTCGCACCTGTGGTACATGTGGTGGAACGAAATTGTGTACACAGTGTCCCAGTTACATCCAAAAAAGTATAAATTGTAAAGAAAAACAGTAGTAAGATCTAAGATGAGCTAAGAAATATACTAAAAATAAGAACACACTAAGCACTAATAGTACAAAAACAATACGCCGAAAAATAGCAGCACGAACAGGAGTCTGTGTGAGCAGATGAGTACGAATGAACACAGCAGTGTGAAATAAATCAGCAGCATGAGATCAGCAACATGGATAATCAGCAGCGCATATCAACAATTCTTGGCTGCCTATTCCTGTTCAGAGCCCTGGGGCCTGGTTCTGACCTCAGGCAGGTATCTAGGAGAAGGGAGCAGAAAACCTGAACAGGGTCACCTGTCAATCTCTGGGCTGTAGACTGACATCAGATCATTTTAATTGTTTTTCTTTTATGTGCGTGCCTAAATATTATAAATATTATCTTCTGTCTGTGTTGCCAAAGGTTCATTTTAAACTTAATTTTACTGGGGAGTGCAACATGGCGGCAGATCGGTGAACTGCGTTTTGCTAGGCTCCCATCACCCCTGTTGAAAAATTGTCTTTTATAATCATATCCTCATTACGTTCACGCTGGATTCTGTTTCTGAGATTGGTGTCACTGCATGATTGACTCGACAGACCTGTGATATGGCCTCTAAGCTAAAAAAATCAAATGCAGCAATGTCTTCTCCCACGTGGCTTGTTGTCACAGCTGCAGCCTCGGCTGCACTCAGCGGATGTGCACAGCCGACGACACAAACAGGTGTATTTTTAACGGTCTGGAGACAGTGACACTGACAAAAAGACAGGAGAAGGGACTGGAAGTGGCATAAATGAAGAAGTTGAGGTTCTCCTTAAGGCCTCCACATACTCAAGCGTACTTCACTCTGTGGAGGTTTGCTCATACTCGAGGCCGACTCAACGTGAACTCGAAGTGGACGTCCGCCGGACACGTCCGCACAAAGATAC